AACATATTCCATTGATTACTCTCACCTGATATCTTAGCGTGCTCTTGCTCTTTACTTAGGTTGTTGGCACTCCAAGTTATATGTGCCCTGAACTTCTTGCTGATATACCCTATGGCTCTAAATCAGATATCTGGTCTTTGGGTGAGATAGATTTATCTTTTACCCCTGAGATCACCTAAGATTAATTACTCTTTCCTTTCTCATCTTCAAGTATATTTTCATTTGCAATTGACGTTTGTTGCATTTTAAATAATTGTTAGGATGCTGTGTGTATGAAATGGCTGCTCACAAACCAGCTTTCAAAGCTCTTGTAATTCTCTCTTTGGCTGGCTGCTTTTCTTTTAAGGATACATAACTGGCAAAACATTTTATGTTAATGTCCTATTTGGTATAGAGAAGAGAAGTAGGATGGATGAAAATAAGTCCATAGAGTGGGGATAGGTGAGAAATAAAGTGAGAATTAAAGGTTGAACCACCATATTTTAAAATTAATTTTCTTCACTTCATCCCCTACCAAACACCCCACCTTAATTCAATCTTCATCGATACTTTAAACCAAACAATACCCAAAGGAAATTTGATGAGGATACAAATAATTCATTTGAAACATGAAACGTTATGTTGCATCATCAGTGTCCATGGTGATGTATATTACATTTTGGAAGACAACTTGAAATCGGTTCTTTCTTTTCTGTATTCTATTTGAGCAGGATATGCAAGCACTGATTAACAAAATAAACAAGTCATTAGTGGCTCCACTACCAACAGTGTATTCTGGTTCTTTGTAAGTCTTCTATTTCCTAGTAATCTTTATTTCTTTAGTCCCTTTATCAGTTTACAGGGAAACAATAGCAAGTGTATTGACTGTTATATGAGTAATGAAATATAAAGTATCAATCCCTTTAGGATTAGATCCAATCCAAGTTCCAAACCACAAATCTCTATTTGAATTGATAATCGAGAAAAAAGGAGAAAAGAGGACAGGAATACAAAAGCAGAACATAGAACATGGCAGGTCTCAGAGGTCACAATTCACAATCAATTTAACAACATTGATTACGAGGGTTAGATTCCTCTCTATTCTTCTTTCAAGCAATTTGACTTGGCTCTCAACGTAAGTGATTATGATATATGTATTGAAGATAAAATTCTTTACTCTAGGCCAAATTCAATTCCTTGGCATTTACCCATTGTGCCCACCGAGAACCTTAGTTCCTTAGATGTTCCTAACCCAAACAAGTATGTAACATGTTTATGATATCACACAATTATAAGTCTTATTCGTAGGTTCTCAACCACTGGTGAAATTCCTCAAGATCAAATGCAATAACCAATCTTCCATTTAAGGGGTTGAGTTTAATTTCAATTCCTAACCAATCCAAGAATAGCATTAAGAACTGAAAAGAATAAACTCAATTGAATGAAAAAATCACGAATTGAGACGTAGCAAAAGAAATCATGTAATAATGGTATAGAGATTTTTCTTTCCTCAACCCAGGATTTAGTGAAAAATATTAAAAGAAGTAAAGCATAGAGATGAGATAAAAATGATCTCAATTAGCAGTTTGATTAGATTGACCCTTGATACTCATTTTATTGCCCCCATGACCCCATTCAATGATGTGATCTATGTTACTTATTGTGATAATATGTTTGTGTCATCTTTCAGTCGGGGGCTCGTTAAGAGTATGCTGCGGAAGAATCCAGAGCTTCGGCCCAGTGTATGCTTTTTGTACCTTATTTTTGTACCTTATTTCGTTCTCTTTTGTCAAGATGTGAATTGATTGATGAAAACGAGTTTGTAAAATAATGGTGTGCCTACATAATTGACTCTACATGTCATTTTCTTTGAATGATAAATACAAGCCAGATGTCATCTCATCACAGCTGAAAGTTCATACTAGATGTGGATTCTCTAGTCTCAATTTTTTACTCATGATTTTTATTTTTAGGTTTTAACATGAATTGTGTAAGTGGAATAGATGATTCGTGATTGATCCCATAGTGGCTATCTCCCAGGCTCTATACTTGTATTGTAGTCCTCTTCAAGTATGTGGTGTTAACCATTTTCTAGTGAAGCTAGTTACCTGAGGCTTAGCTTCTGGAAAATGTGAAATATGACGTAAAAAAATGTATGGCTTTCAGTTTGTGTTTATTTACACTTCTGCATAACATGTATCTCTAGAGGTTTCTTAGAGGAATCATTTCTTTGGTTTCCATTTTGAGCATAATTTTTTATGCAGTAGTTATAGTTAGTTTATTTCTGTCCAGTTAACGTCATTTTGGTGGATTTATTTAACATAAATAAAGTGCAATGTTTTGGCAGGCGGCAGAGTTACTAAATCATCCGCATCTTCAACCTTACATTCTTAAAATTCACTTGAAATTAAATAACCCTAGAAGAAGTACTTACCCATTCCAATGGTCTGATTCAAACTATGTAAGGAGGACTCGGTTTGTAGAGACGGATTCTGTTTCTACTCTTTCTGGAAGAGGTAAAAGATTGTCATTCAGCAATGACAGGGCGTTGAATCCTAGTATTTCTGGAACTGAACTAGGTTCTGTGTGTTCTACTCAAAGAGGTCAAGGATTCTCTATGTGTTCAAAAGAGAAACACTGTGAGCTGTCTGTTGGTTGTGTCCGTGAAGGATGCAATTCCAACAAGTCAAGAGACACCAAGTCGTCCACTGTTGATAGGGTGCCAAGATTGAGAACAGCTAAAGAATATGCCACTCCACGAAGGCAGCCAATACCATCAAAGACATCCCTTACAGGTTTCAAGCGTGAGTTAGTAAGTTCAAGTTCTACACTTCTCAATACCTCCGTATATTTTGATCACAGAAGAAATATAAAGAGAAAAAAATAATTTGATTATACCAAGACAATTAAGTTAACTTCTCAACCTGAATTAGCATCTGAATCATGTCATATTTACCCGATGTCAATTTATTTGTTTGCTTGTTATCATTGCAGCTTCCAGTATCTTCTACTCCTGGTGTTAAATTTACCCCACCATCTCGCAGAGCTTCCCTTCCACTCCCTTCCAAAACCATGTGCATGACCACCCCATATAGAGCTAATGTTGGTCTTCTTCGGGGCATGGACTCTCCTGATGTTTCTGTCAATGCACCTCGAATCGACAAGATTGCTGAATTCCCTCTAGCCTCTTGTCAGGATTCTCTCTTCCCTGTTCATGGAACTTCATCAACCTCGGCTCAGTGTTCTTCTGGTTCCCCAAAGAGTGCCGACTGCTTAATCACGAAAGACAAGTGCACAATCCAAGTTGTGGACAAAGTCAGTGTCCCATCAAGTGTACAATCCCCAAAGAGTGCTGCTCCAGTTTCACATGAATGCTCTGAGCATGCTGTTTCAAGCCACTTCTCTGCCGAGTTTTGCCAGCGCAGGTTTGACCCCTCGTCTTACCAGCAACGTGCAGAGGCATTGGAGGGTTTGCTTGAGTTCTCAGCTCGGCTTCTACAGCAACAGAGGTTTGAAGAACTTGGGGTGTTGTTGAAGCCATTCGGTCCTGAGAAGGTTTCCCCAAGAGAGACAGCTATTTGGTTGGCTAAGAGCTTCAAAGAAACTGTTGCCTGAGGTTTCCTGGTGCACTGTTAGATAGTTAACAATATTGTAAATTTGATCAGTAGCTCAGCTTCTAATCTTATTGTTGTAGTTGACATCATCAGCATTTTCTGATATGCTGCACACTGCAGCACTAGCACTAGTTTGAAGTTGATTTTATCACCAGTAGATCAAAAGGAGTGTCATTAGTTCAGTGCACTGCTCCTACAACAGCAGAGGTTTGAAGAGTGTTGTTGTTGAAGCAATTGGGGCCTGAGATTTTCCAAGGGAAACAGCTTGTTGACCAAGGTTTAAGGATACTGTAGTGGTCCAAGGATTTCTGACGCACTTTTATGATCATTAACATTAGTATAATTTTATGTAGAACTATAAGTTATAAATTGAAGAGTAGCTTACTAGCTTAGCTTCTATATAATCAGACATTGTTCTTATTCTTATTGCTCTTCATGGCACCATTGGTATTCTGAGACGTCTCCGTAGTAAAACACTTCCTCACCCTACGTCAAAGCAAGAGGTTCGCCGGTTTCTTTGAAACAGTGTTTTAGAATTGTTTATAAAAATTAGACAGAGTCTTTTGTTGTAAATGGTTTTCTAGAATCCAACAATTTCATTCAATGGTGCATATTAACCTCAACAAGTTAAACATGCCTGAGAATATTATTCATATAAAAAACTTATGACAGGAATAAACATATCTTTCTGATTATTAGCAAAATAACTTACTAATATAGTCTTCTTTTCTTTTCCATTTAGAGGTAGCTATAAATCCTCCTTTTTGTAATGCCTTTTGATTCAGATGTAGGGATAGATGATAACTCCATAATTTTGAAAATTCAAAATCCATATGATTTTTTATTTTCAGTTTCAGTTCCGAATTATATAATCTGGAGATGTTACTTATTATATAATATAGAATGTTAAACATCAACGTTTTTGTATTTTGAAATATATAATTCAGAATATAAAATATAAAATGTATATTTGATGTAAAATAAAAAATACAAATTTACGTTATAAGTTGTATTTGTAAAACCCTAAATACAAAATAGAAAATACATTTTGAATTATATAATTCAAACTAATAAAAAATATATTTCGATAGTACAATTTGAAATGTATTTTAGAGTAAGTTAAGCTTATAAAAAAGAGAGGATCGATCGGAGGAGTAGTGATTGAAGGAAGTGTTGGTTGGCTTTAATGGAGGCCGTAGGAGAAATTACACATGTAGAGGAAGAAATCATAGCTGGAAATGGAACTCCCTTCAGGAACTTACAGAGAGACCGGCTGCACGGTTGGTGTAGAAAGAAAAGGAAGAAAAAAAAATGAGAAAATGAAGTGGAAAAATAAGGACAATTAGGTCATTTCGTTCCCCATTGGAGTGCAGAATTACGGGGGTGGACGAAGAAATGCCGAGGAAGTAAAAGTTCGTGTTGAAATGGCGAAAAACCCAAAACAAATTTACATCAGAGCCCAAGCCCGTATTATCAGTGTCGTCCTTGCAAACGTTCAAACTCTCTTGCTCTGTCTCTGCAACTGCAAGAGATGGAGATGGAGGAAGCAGAGACGATAGATCTGTATGAGCTTGAATACCCAGACTTATGTTCGCCTTCATCTGCATCCACAGTAGATTCCATAATGGAAGCCCTTGGGCCTAGTGGGCCAGGCCTCCTCGCCGTCACCGGCGTCCCCAACGCATCCAACCTCCGCTCTCACCTTCTCCCCCTCGCCCGGAGCCTCGCCCTTCTCCCCCGCGAAACCCGAAAACTCTTTCTCAAGGTAATTGTACATCTTGTGTACGTGGGATTTCTCACTGGAATGTTCTTATTCTGACACGTTGTTGCACATAAATATCAACCTAGGGTTTGGATTTAAAATCAATTCAGTTTTGTGGGGATGCTCATTGTGCTTGCATTGCGTTCTTTCTTCCTAGGAGCATAACTTAGGTGGTGACGTTCCTCTGAGAAATCCTGATAGGAGTGTGTCCTCCTTTGCCATGCAACTGAAATATACCAAATCTCCACTTGTTGAAAAAACAGTTAGAGAGTGCCGTGGTACTGAATTCGAGAATCTTGGAAGTTGTTTCCAAGAGCTAGGGTTTTGCATGATGGAGCTTGGGCTTTGCCTTGCTCGAATATGTGACAGGGCTATTGGTGGCAATGAGTTAGAGATGAGTTTATTGGATTCATGTGGGGCTAAAGGGAGACTCATTCATTATCATTCACATCTTGATGCTCTTCTCCTTAAACAACATGAAAGGAGTAGAGCAACAAGTAAGGAACGTGCTGGTAATGTGAAACCATTGGAAGGGTCAGAGTTGAATTCAATTGCCCCTGATGTGAATCCAGGTGGAATTCATTCAAATTTGTGGCAGCAGTGGCATTATGATTACGGTATATTCACTGTTCTAACGACTCCATTCTTTATTCTACCATCTTATTCAGAGGCAAGCAAAAGGGAAAATTCATTTCCCTCATCTTGTTTTGATGAATGTCAATCGCCAACTGGGCATACATGCTTGCAGGTATATAATCCTAATAGGAAAAGGGCCATCATGGTGAAGGCCCCTCCGGAAAGTTTTATCATTCAAGTTGGGGAAGCTGCTGATATAATCTCAAAGGGGAAGCTTCGTGCAACCCTGCACTCTGTTCATAGACCTTCCGAGTTTGAAAATTTGAGCAGAGAAACTTTTGTTGTATTTCTGCAGCCTGCTTGGACTAAAACATTCTCTATCTCAGATTATCCTCTTGGAAATTCCTCTTTCAATGGGTTCCATGGTCAGTGTTTAGTGGCTTCTGATGAGGAGCAACGGCAGTCTGGACAGGATAACGATAATCTAAGTCAAGAAATTAACAAAATAGTTCCCCCTCTTTCGTCACGGTTGAAGGAAGGGATGACTTTTGCCGAGTTCTCACGTGAAACAACCAAGCAGTATTATGGTGGTAGTGGTTTGCAATCAAATAGGTGACCAGACTCGTTAGTCATGTTTCAAATTATATCCCCGTGTCAAAAATAGAGACTGTTAAGCTAAACCTCACTGATAATGTGTTACTGTACCTTCTTTTTTAGAAAAATCATATATTTGCCAAAGAGAGAGACAGTGCAGGACTGCATTTCATTTGGTAGAATGGTAATACGTTTGGGGAGCTGCATAACAGTGGAGAAATAAGGCCTAGTAGTCTTGAGAAAATGCCTTTTTGTTTTTGCATTTTTTATTTTTAATTCTATAAATTATAATTCGTTACTTCTATTTGTTTCTTAAGATTTAAACAGGAAATGCTTTCACTGATTTCTAAACTGATATGCTAAAACTGAGAATAAAGCAGTGAAGATATAAGAAACAAAGAGACTTAAAAAGAAGAAACAAATACTTCTATACATTATTCTACCATTTTGTCTATTTCTCTCCCCCTGTCCTTTTCATACTTAGATTATGTTGATTCAAGTGGTTACCTGCATGTGCCATGCTCAATTTTGTACCTAATCCTGGACTCCGTATAGGAATTATAAAAGAAAAAGAAAAGAAAACGGCCGAAAAAGAGGACCTGATCATGCAACTGAAAGACTGCTTTATCTTGCAGCTGCTAGCGGATAAAGAATGGGCATGCATTTAATAATGCCTTCACTCTTTCGGCCTTACCACTTAATATCAGGAATTATCTGCCAGGGAAGGTTCTCTTCTCGGTCTTTACCTTTCATTCATTCATAACTTTGGCTTAAACAAAAAACTTGCACACATTCACTAACGTTACACGCACATATAATGATGAAACATGGATGTATAATTTGCCTGGAAACAAATTTGAGTGTGACTATTGTACATCAAGAGGTCCTCTGGTAAAGAAAAGAAAAAAAATAATCACACACTTGTGATTTTCGTTTAAGACGAGGCGGAAAGAAAAAAAGAGAAAAGGGGAGCCTATCTGTGCATCCGTTAGTACAACGAAGTAGCCACTAACATAGGTCTTGCTTTTTCATTCGTAGTGGTCCTTAAGGGTACCCAAAGTTGACTTAAAAAAGCAAACGTGAATAGGAATAATTTTATGAAAATAACCTGAAAACACATTTGAATGCAATTAGAATTCAAGGGGGAACAATCGTCGATGAGAATTGGAGGCAAAAGGAACAATATTTCCACCTTTTGTCAGTTATGAAACAAAATTGCTACGAAACCAAAAAGCTAAGGCTGTTTCTCCAAGCCTTTTTCTTTTCTTCTTTGTTCAGAGAATTATGAGAGGGGGGGTTGAGATCGTGTTCATGCCCGTGGCGAAAAGTAAAGAAAACAGCAGCTTATGAGTGATGACGTCTCTATGCACGCGCAATTTAACACAGGTCCTCTTCTAGAACACAGCTTTTGTCTCCAACTCAACGCTGCTAAAACTGCTAAAACTTGTTTGGACGACGTTACCAAATCCTACGACAATGAGGAACAACATTGTCCACGTTATATCCCCGACATTCCCCCTCTCAAAATGGTCCTGTGATAAACATATCAAATTCACCAGTAACGTGCATATTTAGTGCTTTAATCCATAAACACGTATATACTTATTTCTACTTTTCCTACTAGAGTTCGAGATTTTTAATTTTGTGGGAACTGGATCTGGCTCCACTTGCTCCACTGGTCGAATCTTCCCCATATTACTGATAATAAAACATTGATTTCACTGACCATATGCAATGTATGCATATCAATTCATATGTACAGTACTGATTTTGGAATTCACTTTGTTCTAGTCTTGTTAATAATTTTTTAATGTTTCAATAGTTCTTATTCTCTTAAGTGATACGATTTGTACGTAAACAAGATAACAAATTTAATTAATGCTATTATTTGCCTACCAGAACTTGCCCCTGATCGCGTTCTTTTTCTTTTTGTCTTCTTCATAATTAAGTTCCTTCTAGGGTCTAGCCCATTAGCCAATATTTTTGTGTTTAGTGTATCCTTTGGGAAAAGGGGTACATGCAGCATTCGACTAGATTCCTTGTCCTTAATTTGTAATGATGTATTCATAATTTAATTTTATAAGTCTGGTCCACTACTATTGTCACGTGAAATGTTATACTTGAATCATGAATGATGGTGAATATTGCTTGTAATTATTGCTTGGTAATGATAGGTGAATGACTCACTAATTATAGCTCAACACTGGATTTTAAAAATTAAATGTTCTTCAATGGCTACTATTCGTGATATCAATTTAATAATGTTTGGACCTGCGAGTGGAGCTATAATGATCGTGTTAAAATGACAATTGTCACCCAATTCTCCCTACGCCATAGTCTCAGCGAACACAGAGCAGAAAACAGTACTTTATTTCCAGTATGAATTTCAAAGCAAACTACTTCACATGGCGTTTGACCAATACTTCATATTAAAATGTCTGAGTTGAGAAATTTTTAATTTGAACTGAAGAAAAATAATGCTTAATTATAAAAATCAACGTTTTTTTGTCATTTTCTGTTCACGAAATAAACAAATATAGCACATATTCCCTTTCATTTTGTTTCCTTGCAAAAAGAAGATAAATATAGAGATAGTGGCACGAAGTAGGAGGATAAAATGAGTCTATTTGCTACATGGAATAGAATGAAAAGAAATAGAAAAATAACGAGTCCTACTCAGATTTATTTTTACTAAAAAATTACAAGAAATGAACAATACGAACTTTATGGATTTTGTATGATTGCATAATTGTGTTACGAGATGACACTCATTTACATCTTGTTTTTGTAGGATTAACTCACAATTGGTTATCTCTTATTTTGATCTAATATTTATTGCTTCATAAAAACACATCTACCCATTCACCTTATTGATTAACTATTTATTTGATATTCCTTCATCTCTATTTCTTTTTATTTATCCTAAATTAAATACCCCTAAGTTTATCTATATCTTGTTTATTTTATTCACATGTTTTCCCTCTTTATCTTTATCTATTCCACTTACTAGAAATATTATATTTTTTTCAACGTCAGCAAACCATTAGAGCAATTCCAATAAAAAATGATTAAGTGGTTCGCAGAGGTAAAAACGAATTCTTCAGTTTAAAATACCATTAGACTGGGGTTGATTGGGAAACAATTGCATGAAAACAACTCTTGTAACAGGATGTGGACTAGTGAAATTATTTATTGTTGCTTTTAATATAAGGTGAATAGATGAATGTAGATACGTGAAGCTCAACCAAACAGGGACTGAAATATTATTACCTTTCTACCACAAAGTGTAAACATACATTTTATGTTCTTCAGCTATTTTATCATTAAAGCGTTACTGATTTTAAAATCTGCTGCGTATATTAAGCCCCACTGAAAATGACTTAAGAACAAAAAGAAAATGTACCATTGGACATGTTCTTACACACTCCTGGTTCTTCAAAGATTCCACTGTATATATATATATATATAGCACCCCTTAAGGAAGAAACCACTCCACATCTCTAAGGTTTAAACTTGTTAGACATGGAACCCAAGTTGACAGTGAATTGTGACCAAAATGAGTTGCTCAAAACCAGAACTGGTACTCATTTGCCAGAGAGCCCGAGAGTACCAATGGAGTTTCTGTCAAGATCATGGAGTGCCTCTGCTCTTGAGGTCTCCAAAGCCCTTGCACCTCCACCACCTTCTTCTTCTTACATACCTTCCAAGCCTCCTATTATACCCTCTTCTATCACCAACTCCATTTCCCAAGAAACTTGTTCTGCTAAGTCAGAGGAGTTCTCAGCAACCATGTCCGCCACCCAGTTCTCTTTTGCTTCCTCCGCCACTTCACAGCTCCTCCTTGACCGCATTATGTCACAGTCAACTAGAGAGGTGTTCATAATCTCACATTGTTACAAAAGCCAATTCATTTGTTTTGGTTCTGAGGGAGACTTTCTTCTCATTTTGCTTTGTTTTGTTTTTTTTTTTGAACATGACCGAATGCGTAATGTGTGAGACAGGAAGTGTCTCCATTAACGTCAGGGAGACTGTCTCACAGCAGTGAACCTCTGAACGGTGGTGCTTCTTTAACTGGAACGGACAGTCCGCCAATCTCTCCTTCTGACGAGTTTGACGATGTTGTCAAGGTATCTCTCTGTTCCTTTCCACTTTCTTTTCCGCCTAGGTGGGACCCTCACCTACCCCACTGCTTACTTTCTCACAAGTACAGTAATAATTTTGTAACTATTCTCTCACTTTTCTTCTTGTTCCTCTTCCCAGTCTCACTTTTGAATGCTGCTGTGTCTTGCTTCCTAAAACTATGCTACGTGTGTAATGGTATATTTCAGCAGTTAATTTTTGAAATGCTGGATGTGCTTTAAATCAGCCTTAAACATGTTTAATTGATTTCGATAATATCCATGTGAGGGCGTTGTTATTACTGTGTTGATTTAATATGGAAAAGATTGTTTGTACTTTCAGAATGTTTAGTAAGTTTGTATTGTTTTTAAAAGGCATGCTTTGATTTTTCTTTTTAGGTGTCACATTACTGTTTTTATCACTTTCTTTTCTTGCTTATAAATAATGTAGAAAAGACTTTCTTTATAAAACTTGCATTAGATTAGGATTTTAGGAGGGTTATCATGTTCACATGCCACCTAAGAAAAAAACTGTAAAAATAGTTTGCTAAAGAAAGGAATTTGAGGGCCCCGACTGATTCACCTGCTAGTCATGACTCATTTCAGTTTCCATGGCTGCATGGAAGAAATATCTATGTTCATGACTATTCAGAAATATGGTGGCGTTTGGTGCTTGCTGCTCATGGGTTTTCCATGAGTTATCAATGCTACTTTATTTCAGCCATTATCACACCTAACGAAGGTGCTAGAGCCTAAAGTTCTGGAGGGGTCATGGCTTTTCATTTAAAAGATCAAAATTTTGAACTTTGAACCTGCTGAGTGTTGAACTGTTGAAGTGGGTAATGACGCACGCCGCTGTTGTTACTGATACGGTTTCCAGTTAAGTTGTCTTACCTGCCAGGTGATTGTCTCACAACAGGACAAAGGTTTTGACTGTTCAGTGTACCTTATCTTCGCATTCACGCAAACAAAACAATCTTCTTGTTTTGGAAATTTTGCTCGCAGATAGAAAAAGTTCAATTTGTCCTTTTTACTAGAAATGAACCAAAGCTAGAGTTGGCACAGGAAAAGCCTAGTGGGGTTTTTTCTGCAAGTCCAAAATCTGTTTAATGTTCTTACCCATATCACAGGAACCATTAAATGAAAGATTAAATAGAAACTGATAAAGCGCATGTCTGGTCGAATTAGATTCTTCTTAATCATGCTGAAATAGCAATTATGTTACTTTTTAATGAATTATGTATTTGATTCTGAATTTAAACAATTTTAGATAATTTTTACACTTAAAGGAAATTTTATGTTAAAGCTTAATCAACTTAGTTTTATTAAAAATCAGTTTAGCCAACACTAAGCAATCTCTCGATTTGAGATGGAACAACTTCATAATGTTAAATTGGTCAACGATGAAGAACAATAATGCCAAACCTCATCAATCTACTGCAGTTTTTTCGGGCAAACAACTCCATTCATCCCTTATTCAATGGTGGACGAGCCATGAGTGGTGCTACAGGCAATGCCACTCCTAGCTCCGGACCTAAAACAGTAGGAAGATGGTTGAAAGACAGAAGAGAAAAGAAGAAAGAAGAAAACAGAACCCATAATGCTCAACTTCATGCTGCAGTTTCTGTTGCTGCCGTAGCAGCTGCTGTTGCAGCTGTCACTGCCGCAACAGCAGCCACATCTGCAGCTACCAAGGATGAGAAGATGGCCATGTCCGTTGCTTCTGCGGCCACTTTAGTTGCTGCTCAGTGTGTAGAGGCCGCTGAAGCAATGGGAGCTGAGAGAGATCACCTTGCTTCTGTGGTTAGCTCTGCCGTCAATGTCCGCTCTCATGATGATATTTCAACACTTACAGCTGCAGCTGCCACAGGTAAAGTTTACCACTGTTTTTATTACGAGTTTAATGATCATATACTAAGAACCTTCACAAACTGCTGTTCACTAACTAGGAACAAATTTATCATACAACTCTTCATAACGTTAAGTGACTCCAAAGGTATTGAAGATCATGCATCTGTTAAGTTTATGAGTTTATAGTATATAAATGTTGGGTTTATCCAGAAGGTTTCATACGGAAAGATACAAGATACAAACAAGAGAAGATTCACACCATTGTTTATCTATAACTTTAAAGATAATGTGTTAACGGGTCTTTGGATATTGCTTTACTTTGTGATTTATACGAGAGTTAGAGTCACACACACTTGGATGCAAATCTTATAATAAGTTGATTTTGTATAGTTGAGCTAAATTTGAAGTTGAATTCTTAACATAATATAAACTATTGGAACCAACCAGGATATGTAGTTTCATTTTTTATTGATCCCTTAAGAAGGACGTGAGTGTGATCCTTTAATGTGCAGCTCTACGTGGGGCAGCAACCTTGAAAGCAAGAGCATTGAAGGAGGTGTGGAATATTAACGCAGTGACTCCATTAGAGAGAGGAACAGGTATTGGAAGATGTGGTAAAAGCAAAAACAGTAATTCTAGCACCAGTGACAGTGGGGAGATTATGAATGGTGACAATGTTTTGGGTGCATGCAACCAAGAGCTCCTTGCTAGGGGCACTGCATTACTCAAACGGACGCGCAAAGGTAATTTCAGTAACTAACAAACACAGCAATAGATTAGCAAAATGAGAATTTTCTCTTATTTACAGAATTATTAAACTCAATTTTGGTGATTGCTGTAGGTGATCTTCACTGGAAAATAGTTTCAGTTTATATACATCGAACAGGCGAGGTATTTATTCTTTCGAAAGGTCATATGAAATGGAATTGAGTAGGTGCCCATTCATCACAATTATAGCAACAATTTCAGGTAATGTTGAAAATGAAGAGCAGACACGTTGCAGGAACTATCACCAAAAAGAAAAAGAGTAATCAATCACCTAACTTTATTTTGGTGCCATAAAAGCAGTTCATAAGTTTTGGTTCAAATTGTATTTGCAGATGTTGTTTTGGATGTGTGCACAAATTTAGCTGCATGGCCAGGAAGGCATCTGGTTGATGAGGGTGAAGAAAGAAGGTACTTTGGATTGAAGACAGAAGCAAGGGGAGTTGTGGAGTTTGAATGCAGAAATCAAAGAGAATATGATATTTGGACTCAAGGGGTTTCTAGACTTCTTTCCATAGTTGCACGCAGACAAAACCTAAATGGGGTTTGAGCTGAACACATTGGCAACAGACTCTGTTTCTACTGATTCATTGTTCAATCCATATGTATCTATTTAGCAGTATCTTACTTCTTTAACAGGAACTAATGGATTTTGTAACTATTAAGTCAAGTCTCCTCGTTGCTTGCATTCATGGATAGTGTTTCATTTTATCTAAATTTTTGTCTTTACTGTCATGTTAACTGAAAAGGATTATAGACTATAGACCATAGACAAGTGCTGATATCACTTTTTTTTAAATATATTTAATTGCTCTAAAATTAGTTACTTTTAATTTTGTTTCCTATCATTTATTTTTTCACTATTTAAAATTACTTTTTAGCTTTTTATGAGATATGAATTTGATTCTAGTATACGTAAACAATTTTTCTTTAATTTGTCTGTCTCTAAAATTTTAAATTTTAATATTCAATTTAAAGTAAATAAATCATTTATTGTACGAAACTTTGTTAATATATACACGTACGTAATCCTTGAACTAATAATTTGACATTATGTTTATCAAAAGAATTATTTAATGGTAAGACTAAACTTAGAAAATGAAAAACTTTTTATATGGATTAAAATAAAAACTCATTCACTTTTTAGACAATTGTTTTAAATAAAATCAGTCCAACGACGGCCAGCAACGAAAAAAAACGAAAACTGTGTTGGAGATGATTGAGATAGACGGAACAAAATCAGTCCAGCTTAAGACTGAAAACATAAAAAAAATTATATTTTCGAAGATTTGAACACTTCTCAAGTTCTTCTATTTATAATGATAAAGAACCAATACAATAAGAAGATAAAAAACTGTAAGACAAAAACCTAGGTATAGATGAAAGAGTTTTCTGAACACACTACTCCCCACTTTTGACTTAATAGGCCTAATAATTATTCCAACAAATACATTAATTACACAAACATATAATTAACTTATTTAAACTTAATGATATCTTTTTGTGAATGACTTTTGTATGCATACTGTTTAATAAAAAATATCATATGCTTATTGAATGATATTTATTAAACTCATTAAATAAAGCGGGTACGAGGTTATGTGCACATTTATTGCCATATTTGTTCAATTTATTGAACTTTCTCCATAAATTCGTGCATAATGGGTGCATAGGCCACCTATCGACTGTTGACAACTGTAACAGGAAAAAAGTAGCACAAGTAACAAAAAGGAACAGTTACAAAGAGCAAAATTTCATTGTCAATAAACTATTTATGAACAACTTTGACAATAATCCATTGTACACACTGTACCCCTTGCAAAAGAGTGAGCCCTAAAGATTTATTAATCATATGAATTTGTTTTCTCAGAACCCACCCTCATCTCCCAGAGAGAACAAACAATGCGCAGGATAGGAAGCAGTATATGATACAATCATCTAATTCTCAGCGGCTCTAAAAATAGTGAGCAGAGAGAGGAAGAGATTGATGATGTCCAGATACAAAGAGACCGAAGCCCAAATGAATTCATCATACGAATATCTCTTAATCAGGTTGTCTGTATCATATACGATGTACCCACAAAATATAAGAGCCGCCAAGCACCCATAGATCATCACAGACAACTTACCCAATGGAAACAGAACCTAAAACGCAAGGGAAAGAAGATGTTATACATTGATTAACCCAAAACGATTCAATCGCATAATACAAATAAAATAACTATTTTCGAAGATTAAAATACCTGAATCAGAGCGAAGACCATAAGAACTAGCACAGCACCGAACAAGAAGGGGCCAAGGAAGTTGAAATCTTGGCCTCTCCTTGCAGCCCAAAATGTGTAGAGAGTAAGACCAATCACCACCACAGCGGTCAGTATTACGGCTTCCAGAATAACTTTCTCTGTATCAAAAATCCAGCATCATTGGGGAAAAAAATCAGGACTACACACAAATAGGCAATTTTCACTGAGAATGCAACTTAAGCAAAAGCCAGAATATAGAAGGGAGAAAGTTCTAACGCGAGACAACCAAGATCCCTAATAGGGTCTCAAGAGCGGCTTGCAGACATACTAGTACATGAGTAGTTTCCGTACAAGTGAATTATCCGTTCTTGTGACTCCATATGTCTTTCTCGGTTGGAAGGAAAGAAAAAAGAAGGTCTTAAACTTAAAGAGATTAGAACTCAAAATCCTAATGAGACGACGAAATTAAGGTTTTTCAGGGGCATTATAGGTTTGATTGTACACACGCAATGGTATTGAGCACACGACCCACGATGATGGACTTGTACTAAAATCACTCCAATTTATAAAAGCAATTCACTTTTGTACATTGTACCAAATTCGAGTCACCCATATAAAATATTAACCAAGACAGACCAAACTCAAATGTGTTTGATTCAAAGGAGATACGGAGAAAATGCAAAAATTAACCTAAGTTAGGTGAGAATTTGAACTATTATATCTTATTTGTTACCAAGTTTTAAAACTTCCAAGTATTCTCCGTTGTTGCTCACTAATCTCCACTAGAAAATCAGCTGACTAACTTCAATAAAATTTTCTATCCACAAGGCTATATCTTCAGACCTCGCGTAAAGGCATTTTGTTATAACTTCCAAAAATAAGCAAATTGTCAAATAAATCCCAAATTTAAACCACCCGCACTACGGAAACGCAAGTTATAATCTAGATCAAAAACAACGAAAATAAAAATAAAATTAAAAAAAAGAAAAAAAAGAGGAGAGACGAGACTATGAATCGTACCGCTAGTAAAGGCGCAACTCAATCCAACGACAAAAGAAAGAGATACAGTGAAAAGCCCAAGGAGTAGGTAGTTGACGGGATGCTTCTGGTAATAGTAGTAAAGTGGACACAACGCTGCAATTGCAAGCAAAAACAACACAAAAAAGGCGTCAGACAGAAATCAGAGGAACAGCAAGCGACGGAATTGAAAGCAATTAGGTCAGGAGACGCACTGATGAAGGGGACAAAGATGAGAACGATGTAGAGAGCCAATCCGGCGCCGGTGGTGGCGAAGAAGACGCCGATGGGGCGGACGGTGACGACAACGGCGCCGATGACGATGGTGACGAGCAACTGGATGGCGATGATGGAGTACACTTTCCTGATGAAGGACCAGCGCAGTTCGGGGCTCTCCAGCATCATCGGATACAGAGGCCGCGCCCCGCTCTCCAAATCAGTTTTCCCGTATGGCTGGTTCCACATCTTCTTTCTTCTCGCGACTGAGAAACTGAGAGAAAATGTAGGGATATAGAGAGAAAATTGCTTACGGCTTTTTGGATCTTGCGTGCGTGGAATGAAATGGGATCAGTGTGGTTCATAAAGCGGGTTTTATTAATAAATAAAACCACCGTGGTGCGCGTGCGTGGAAATTCAATGGGTGAAAGAAAGTTCGTGAGACTTCGCAAATCTTGTTACCGAGAACCTTAAACGTCGCCGTTGTGATACTATAGAACACGTGGAATTTTCTTTGCTTGACGCGTGTAGGACGTGAACGTTCCAGATTCATCAACGGTAATTACACACAGTCAGAGTAACCCAGTAATTTGACAGTGTTTATCGAAGAACAATGTACGAATATTCTTTTCTCAATTTCCTCGTTTACTTTTGGTAAGTCAATAGCTTAATAAAATAAATAAAAATAAAATGGAACGAGAAACTTCAAAACAACATTACTTAAGAAAGAAGTACCTGAATGTTGTTTTTCGGTTCCTTCCGTTTATTTTTGGTTAGTCAATAACTTAATTAAATAAATTAACATGGGAATGAAAACTTCAAACAATGATGTTTTGCTTATAGAAGTTCTTTAGTATAGTGAGTTTTTTTTTGGGATCGAATTATTCAATTCTCCAGTTTTAGATAAATTTTAAATTGGTTTCTTTATTTTTATACGATTTGATTTAGTTTCAATTTTTTTTTAAAAAAAATTATACATGTTGTTTCCCATAATTTGTGATTTCTTTTTTCATTCTTTTAATTATTTTTATCTTTATTTCATTTTTTAACTTTTTTAAAAACTTTGTTAGATTTTAAATTAACATTATGTAATGTGGCAAAGTATCACATATCATTATCATATTATACATTATTGTTTTAGTTTTAATTTTATCATTATATTTTTATTTAATTTTTAATTCACTTCTAATTTATTTTAAAATTAAACAATTTTATCATTTTTATATTTAAACAAAATTTAATTTATATATATATATATATATATATATATATATATATATATATATATATTATACATGTAACATCACATATATTATATAGAATCATATAACATACTAAGTCCACATTTAAATAAAAGAGAACAGTTAGAGTAGACAGTAAATAAAGTAGTTAAGCTTACAGTCATCTCAGAATGAGACACAATTTAAAACTTAAACGCAAATAGAGTATTTCAAAAGAATAGGAATCACTAGGAAAATCCTCAACAACTAGATAGTAATTCAAGATACAAGAAATACTAAGAGAATCCTAAGGAGACTAAGCAGCAGCAGTATCGTCTTCCTCCAAAGTCTGCTCCAGAGTCACCTCATCCACCTCTACACCTCATCCACCTCTACTCACATCCAAGTGGATGATCATTGCAAAAGAAAAGCATACCCAAGCAAACACAAACACACAAGCAAGGGTGAGCTAGATATAAAAATCATGTTATAACAGTCACAAGCAATATGCAAGCAAAGACAGATACAGTACATTACACCCACACGACTTGTTGCACTTAAACTTGACTCGTCCGGACTTAGAATGATTGCCGAGCTATGGCGGGTCATGCACTCGTGGTGGCCTCTACTGCTTTGCAAAGCCAATGCCAATGGGTTTCACCCTACCACACTCAGGTTAGTCCGTTATCACTCACCTTGGGCCATACTGGAAGCACCCAAGACTAGGACCTCCTGCTACTACTCACGACATGATTCAATCCTCTGTACTTGAGAATGATTGACCATTGTAGTTTCAGGATAACCCCCAAGACTGAGCTACCATGCAAATCGTTCTAAACACTGAGGGCACCACCATGTATCCCCTCTTGAGGACCATGGAATTACGTCCAATACTGATACTTTTCACTTTAACACCAACATGATAATGCACACATAAGCCCTTAAAGCAACTGGAACAAT